GCGTGTGCCACTTGGTCTTGAGGCACTTGTCGATTCGCGCTGGACTTTCGAATGCTTGAGGACCGCTTAGGAAATTGGCGATAGTGTGCAGTTGTCTCTAGATAGTTGGCAATGAGTAAGTCTTGGTCATAGTCATTAAAACGGGTAATCATCTCTTCTTTGATTTTTCGCCATGACTCGTCGTTCTCGAATATGTGAATTAGGTAAAATTTGAATGCCTCACCGGTGACGTAGTCGCTGAAGTTCGTAACCATCTCCCGTTCCGACCAAGATGCAGCGGTAGCGTGGAGTTCGAACAGGTTGAACCAGTCCTGTACGGGTTCGTCGTCCGCTGATCCAGTGTACTTGGGGATGTCGAGGTCAGCCGATAGTTCTGTCATGATGCTGTTCGTTGTCCTCCTAGGCAATGATTCGGTAGTCAATGTACGGTCAGGGCGTCTTCTGGGTAACTGCGTCGATGATGAGTGACTGATGAAGGGGCAGGCAGGTGTCCATCCTGTCGACTTGTGTGACGCTATGATGAATGGGAGACGTGGCCTGGCTTACCCCATGTTTATTCTACTCTGAATTCTTCTTCCTCATCTACTTCTCCTAACCATCGCTTCATACGTCACATATATGTGTCAGTGAGTCTGTCAGTCTATACGTGGTAAAAATTAACCTGATTGCTTTTCTTTGAACCGCTTCTATTTTATTAATCCGTTGCCGGTAAGTGGGAACCAGGCATGGCTGGCATATTGTAGCACATGGCTGGCCTATTGTATTGGGGCATATTTGGAGCACTTATCAAAAATGTCGAAAATACCTGTGGAAAATACCTTAGCAAAGTAATTATTTTTAGCATCCTTTAGTTCGCTTCACATATGACCAACGGCTACAGTCAGATCATGTCTAGTTGGATTACATGCAACGTATTTGAAATATTTGTTAGAAGTTTTATTGAAGCTTGTTAGATTAGTTGGTTTCAAGTTTGGTTGTTTTCTTAATTGCTTTATATTTCTTTCGCATGTATTAAGTGACTTTGTCAAGTGTCTAGTCTCGTTACACACGGGCACAATATGTAGAAACTTTGGATCCCTTCCTCCAAACTGGCCTATGACTGAGGTCTTCAGCCTTTGATCCCCCCTCCCAAGCACAGGGGCACGTGTCAGTCATTCGACGACCCCTGTGGCTGCTTTTACGGCAGCCGCCTGCACATACAAGTCGTTGACCTTTCACGTTGCTGCTGCTTCTCTGCTGATGGGTTTTGTCTTTCCGCCAACGTTGGCACAGGGTTCAACAAAGGGAATCTTGGAATTGCAGCTGCTCGTTTTTTATCCCCCTCTTCCTGCTTCGATGCTTCTTTTTGCGTGTTTGGCTGTGTTCGCATGCAGACGCATGATGCAGTTTGTTTGTATTATCTTTATAGTCGGGGCACTCGTATATCTGCCTGCTGAGCAGAAAGAAGCAGCTTACAATTGTTTTCTTTTCTGGAAGACCCCCTCTGCCACCAAATACGGCTGTCCTAATAGTTTTGATTAGGGTTGGTTCCAGTTTTTCTGCAGAAGTTCTTCTCTAGAACACACTTTTGTTACTTATTAGTTAAGAGTTCGTAAGAGACAATCTGGTTTAGAGGAGAGCACAGTCATGCAAAACTTGCTCTTCCTGAAATGGTCATTGATAAGCATGGAATACAAATTTTGACTTGTTTGTCCTGATAGTGAATAATTTCATTAAATGAGCTGCAACCTTGTTTACTTCAGGCATTCAAGTCAGTGTCTTAACAATGCACTGACACAAATTTTGTTCCTTGTTTTTTTTTGTTTTGTTGCTGCAATAGGTAGTTCATGACCCACTTATCAGGGCTCGAAACCTAGTTTGTGAGAGTTCGTGACGGTTATTTATTTAGAGATGTTTTCAGAGCGTTGAGTCACAGTTTGTTTCAAAGGGCACTGAGCTAGCCAGGAGCAGTTCAGGGGGCAAGGTAAACACAGCTGGCCGCATAACCATGCAAAACTGACTTGGGCGCTGCACATGAGAGAGTGTGCAAGTGGGCGCAACACTGACAGCCGGCACACCTGAAGCTACAGACTCACCAAAGTTTGGTTTGGTGACTCGTGAGTTTGGTGAGGGAGGTAATTGCAAATAGTGCAAGTGCAAGGCGCATGCCAGCAACCAGCCAACACAAGCTTGTGACGTAGGTTTGTTTGCATTGCCTCTGCGTTAGTGTCGGTGTCGCGAGGGGCTCCGCGTCTCACTCAGTCTTGCGGCGTTCGCTTTAAAAATGATCTTAAATGCGTTCTTAGCTATATTTGCCCTCGATATTTCGTATGTCTCTAGATAACTCTATCTCACTCATTATCTCAGATTCGAAATTTGTGTCAGTGCCAGGTTATGCTGCCACTGCGGCTGCTTGAAATCATGAGAGGGGTCGAACCTCGCCTTTCAGGGCAATGGTTGCGGTTGTTCCTCAAGACTGAGTTTGGCTGTGTTTCTCATGTTATTTTTTTTTGCCTCATGTTATTTTTTTCACGGGGGTATTTTTTCACATGTGCTTCTGTTGTGGCCAACTGCCGAGGGTCTTGTGCTCATGCACACATTTTCTGCCCTTGGCGATGCTTTCCAGTAAATTTTTAAAGTTTCTAGCAGCACTTTTTTTACCTTTTTCACTTTTTCTGTTCCATTAATTGTGCCTCACTTTGCCAAATATACATCACAAACAGGCCCAAACTTCTCCTTTTCTATACACCTCAATTTTCGTATATTTATATCCATGAAGCTATCCATACCTTTCTACTTTGTAAACTTATACTTGAGATGCTGCTTTGCATCCTTGAGAAACTCGATATAGGAGCTTAAAAAAGTTCTTTAAAATCTTTGAATTTGGGCTGCTGAAACTTGTGTGAACCCTGCATAATTTCTCGGTCTAGAACTGTTGCTCAATACCTGTTGGGTTTTAGGTTTTTGAAATGACCTGCAGCCATTGCTCATTATTTCCCTTAAAGACGTGTAATCCAGCCTCTCACGACAAACAGCTGCTGTGACTCTTTTGTTCAGTATTACACATGTATCTATGGCCCATCTTAGGAGCCGAAGCTATGGGGGCTTGTTGGTGCATCTTGAAAAAGGCAGTAACTCAGTGCTAGTGAAGATCAGGACGACATGGAAGAGACAGCGGACACGTGGACGCCAATGTCACCAGTGCCTCATCCTTGTGGTCCTTATCATCACCAGCGCTGAAATACTGCCTTTTTCAAGACTACCTTTCAAGGGGAATCATTTGTGCCAATAGTCTTGCGCAACCCTGTGCAACACGGTATTTTCACTTGGAGAAGTGGCTTGTACTACATTTATACAGGCACCCCAACCTCAGCCATGACAAACCTTAGTTCCTTTGAACCGTAGTTGCATCCAGTTCGACATCCAGTTCGACAGGAAGCCTAACGGCAGTTGTCTCTCTAACCATGGTTGCTCTGAACCGTAAGTCGGTGAACTCTCATCGGTCGGGTAATGCGGACTCACTCAGACTCAGATCGAGCCTAGAGTCTGAGTCTGAGTCCGGGTGAGTAGCATTTTCATGAATCTGAGTCCGAGTAAGTCCGCTTCAAGAAAATTTTCGTGAGTGTGAGCCCGAGTAAGTTAGCTTCAGAAAGTTTGGTGAGTCTGTGTCCGAGTGAGTCCAAACCGCCATATTTATTTCTTGAGGGAGTCTTAGTGAGTTTTACTTTCTTTTGCCAAGCTAAGCTCTAAACTGAGGTGGACCACCTCAATTAAAGGATCCCTGACAGCAAAAGTATTGTTTGAAACATTTTTACTTTACTTTGTAGCTCTACGTCTGGTAATGCTGAGATTGAATTATAAATACTCAAATGCATCCTATAATTAATTCTAGCATCATTAATCCAGAACGATTTGTTTCGGTTTGAAATGTTTGTCTAAATGCCGTAAAAAACTAGCGCCCTGCAGTGCAGGAGACTACGTGCACTCAAGCTTCGGTGACGCTGAACGCGCGCTTTTCAAATAGGGAAACCCTCGGGTGCTGAAGAATGAAATGATGTTGGTGCTTCGAGCGTGTCCCCCTCAAAAGCATTCCTGGCACATGCAGCCAAAGCCACCTAGGAAGCCGCCCGACAACAGATTTGAAAGGGTTTGGCGAACAATAGTCTTCACTGCGTGCCAGTCGGTGTATTGCGCACATCGCGCAAATGTTCTTTGACGTCAACACTGATGTCTGCAACGTCCTGAGCAGGCCCCCGTCTACGTCATACCACAGAAAATGTCGATTGCACCTGAATACTCGGGACAAGCGCGCACCTTTAGCATCGCATTGTCGGTGCTGCATAATAAGCTCTGTGGTGTTTAGAATTGCATATCCATGCATCTGGAATAAAGAAACACACTACCTAATACTTTTGGTGTTGCTCATCAAATAGGCATAATATTTGCTTTTCAATTGGCAATGTTCACAAGTACAAATGCCGGCGCTGCATAATAAACTCTGTGGTGTTTAGGATTGCATATGCATGTATTTGGAATAAACACACTACCTAATACTTTTGGTGTTGTGTGCCAAATAGGCGTAATATTTGCTTTTCAATTGGCAATGTTCACAAGTACAAATGCAGCCACAAGATCAAGATGGGCAAGAAGTTAAACTTGTATTTCACAGCTAATTTGTTTTGACAAATAAAAAACACAGACGAAAATTTTTGTGAGGTATCGAAAAAAGGACTATCGTGTTGAAAAACAAACTATTAAATGGTCATGACGACGCCAGCACCGCGTGTACGGAGTGTAGGCTCGAGAAGCGCCGTGGTGATCTGGCATTTCATATTGCTGCACCCAAATGGCGTGACAATGGGTAACCTTTGCAGAATTGGCCATGGGCATGTCTGGGTTTCGAAACAGTGTGCATAATTGAGCAAAGGGCTCTAGTGTTAATATCGTTTTCGCTAGTAGGAATGTGGTCACCCCAACCTCGAGGGTGCTTTCGTGAACACTTGTCGTCCTTTTGTGTGCAGTGGTTGGTGCGCCATGTCCTTTCGGAAGGGACTCAGTCGCAGCAGCAACTACGACAACAGCAGTAGCGACACTGAGGACGCCTCCCCGGAGGATCGGGCACAGACCAGGCGCGACTCCGACAGGTGAGTCATACTACCTGCATACTATGTCACGCTTATAACCAGTGTTCAAGCACTCCAGTGGCATTATTGCAACCTGCAATGTCATTGTTTCATAGTAATATTTGAAGCATACAGTATTGAGAACGACGCTGGTATAGAAGCGACACTGGAATAGGTTATTTTGAAAACCTAAAATCCAACTAGAATTGAAAGCAAATCGCTCAAACTCGTGGCCCACAAATGTCCTGCTGGTGACACAATCCACCCATGCCTTTTTCTCACCGTACTTTGAAAAAATTTTTATTATGGTTCTGAACCTCGCATACATGACTAGCCTCAAACATTATTTTTCTGAGGCACCCCATGCTTCACAAAGCTGTGGAAGAAAAAAAATTTATATTTTAGTATTTCAGTCACTCCAAAGATCAGTGTCAATACGATTCTGCAAATCTGATGCCAAATGACTTTCAGTAGTGACTCATCTATTAGATGTTGTGAAACCTTCTTAAATGGCAACAATGGCTTGAACTCTGCTCATACTAACTTCTCCCCCGACCTCCCCTTGCTGCAACATTCACCGTTCCAGCTTTTGCATGACTAGCCTGCTAGCTGAATAGTTTGTGTTTCCAATCTAAAGCATCATCGTTCCATTATTCTTTCAAAAATGTTTGTTGAGGTGGGGAAAAGCATTGCAGTATGAATGCTTATTCATGGTCTGCACACGCATATTTGGCTCTAAAAGCGATGCAGCCCAAGTGGATGCGTTATCATAATGCCGTAGCCAGAGCAATGTCGGGGCTTAGTTTGCTGCTGGCACATTCATTGTGTGAAGGCTAGCATTCCTGTTACCAGGCTGGGCATATACTATACTGAATGGCACAGGCTGATTTAAAGGCGCCTTGTGACACCTGTCGAGCATGATCATAAAACATTACCGATCAGTAGTCGAGGCTCCCATGAACACTCGAACGAAACATTATATTTTAGTTGAAGCTGAAGTTTGGGCTCGTTGGTTTTGACTTGAACCCATGATACTAGAGCAAAACAAAACGAACACAGAAAGGCGCCCACATGACAACTGCTAGACTTCCACCGACAATTTACTCTGGACGCGTAACATATAAGCTGGAAAAAGAAAAAAAAAATCTAAACCGATAGTAACGTGGTCATTCTGCCATCATTGCAAGCTCAACGTGCCGAGCTACGCATCACGCGTGGCCTTTCTAAGAAGTTAATCTTTTTCTTCATTTTTTGTCAAGACAATTGAGGGTACAGTTACACTCACCTGCCTCCCTGTGTATGTACATTACTCATAGATTGAAACCGAATGATTTATGGCTGTGTAATGTGCATGCTTTCGTTTTCACTGTCTTCTCTTCAAGATATAGCAGCATAATTTCGACTTGAATACACTGATCAGAGCCAAGATTGTCTTTAGAGACAAAGTTCGTTGCAACATAACACTTGAGCTATTGGTTATCTTGAGCTATTGTTCATGGCATTCGTTTCATTAAAAATTAGATATCACATTTGAATATGTGAGTTGTGTATATTGCCTCACAAATCTCATGTCGGATCTGGCCACAGGCCCGTCCCAACACCCGAGTTGCACCGAATTCTGGGGCGCACCCACACCGCTTAACCCTTCAATGCCTGAATTGTGAAACTGCTAAACGAAATATTGTTTTCATTTTCCAGCTTTAAATAGCAACCCCTAAACGATCACACAGTTAAATTGCATAAATTGCAACTTTAAGGCATACTTTTATGTAGATCACGAATTCTTCATAAGCCACAGAAGCAAGGACCTTGCAACAACAACAACAACAACAAAAAAAAAAAATACTTAAGAACTACGTAACATGTCGTGTGCCACCTCTTGGGTTGATACGCACCAAATAAACAGCTCTCGTGCCAAAAAGCTCTCGTGCTAAAGGAAACTCGTCTTCACCTTGTTATTTGAGTTCCTTGATGGTTACCGTATTTACTCGCATAATCCTCGCACTTTTTTTTTTGGCGGAAAACCGATGCAAAGTTGGGGGTGCGAGAATTTTGCGGGGAAAACTTTCCATGAAAACAGGTTCAACACAAGGCAAGATTTATTTCAGACACAAAAAGTACAAGCAAATAGTCGAGAATTACAATACCATATGCAAAGCTTGTGGGCGTTGCGAACGTAGCGGTAGCGTTCGTCACTCAACAAGAGCGCTCAAAAGGTAAGCGTATGATGTCAGTATTGGGCTGATGGCTATTTAACAGAATCGTCCGCAGTTTCCTTCTGAAGAAATAAAGTTTACCATTAATCTTAGTTGTAGGCACACGGCAGGCCCAACGCGTCCTGGTGGCTTTCAGCTGCCGTCACCTGTAGCGAACACAAAACTCGTAGGCTCTGAAGGGCCTACCGGCGGCCCTGTTGCCGTTGTTTAGTGCATAATTAATCACTTTCAACTTGAAAGCAGCAGTGTAGCTTCAGTATCGCCCCATAACGTGACAAGGTTACCGACACAACATACAAAACACGCCGCAACGCACACTTGCCACTTTGGCTTGGCTTGGATTGAATCTCTGTGTAATAATAGTACACATGATGGTTAAGAGATGGCGCCATATGGTGCACGCTATCATGATCAGTGGCTGAACGAGCAGACGACATTATTGCGGCAGTTTTCGGGGTTACAATAATTACTCGAGGAAAAAAAGAAATCGTATTTTTGATGGGCGATGTGGGGGAGCGAGAAATATGCAAGTGCGAGAATTACACGAGTAAATATGGTATATTAAGTGTGGAGATGCTAGGGAAACAGGACAACACAAACCACGTATAAAAATTGAGAAAAAACAAGCGAGAGATAGAAAGAAAGGAAAAGTAGGAGGGAACAAAGAAAAAAAAAGGACTGAAGAGGAACAAAGAAACCTGTTCAGCTGCGTACTGTGAAGCTGCCTTCATTTTTTCATTTGTGTTTTCTTGCGCACCGTCAAGGTGTACCTCCAGTAACTCTGGTGAAGCTGTCCCTCATCACACCAGCATTGTTACTTTCTGAAGCCATTCTTCTTTTTTTTTGGCATTAGGCGTGTGCAAATTACCTGGAACACTATGCAAATAGTTCATTCTGAATACTATTCTCTTGTTTCACTGTTTTGTCTGTGGACAAAGCTATCACTTTCTTACTTTTGCCTAAGTGAGTTGTCTTTGGGACAGAAACGTAGTGGGACGTTCTTGAGATGCACTTCGCGAGACTGTTTTGCGTTAACTCAGTGTTCAGCTGTGAGATTTTTTTTCTAGGCAAGGTGTCCAGTTTCTCAATTTGTAAGCATTGGCCTAAGATATTTCTTATATGCATAGTTAGTCAGTGCATGCTAGCTGGATACTGGGCCACTCCTCCTGGTTACCTGATAAGCCATTTCTGAGAGTCTGTATACCACTTTGTTTTTTTAAATTACCAGGAGACAAAAAAGAATTAAAAACTTGTAATGAAGACTTAACCACACACTTGTGTGACGTCAGCATGGGGCCACACGAATTTTCGTGAAGAAACAGTGTAACTGTTTGGTTTCTTGCTCAGCTTTGCTGTCCTACTCTGCTGCCCAGAGTGGGTAGGTGCAGCGTGCTATCTCGATTACACGCATGTTGAAAACACTCGATGATGTCAGCGATTATACTGTTAGCACGCAGCCAACAATTGAGGAAGGCTACCTCCACATGTTTTTAGTGTCTAGGCGGTGCGGTTAGGAAGTGCAGTGAGAGGCACTGGTAAAGTGATAATGTTTGTGGTAGTTGTGACTGCTGCGTAGCCACAATTTCATCACTGCCAAGCTGAGGTACCATTTCATAGTACAGAGAATCAAAGGGCAAAGTTTTGCTCGTGAGCGACTTACGTTGCTTTGCGGATTAAGAGGACTAGATGAATGTGGAAGAGACCTGCCGGTGTGCCTGTGTAGGGCACAGTTCGGTGGTATTTTCAAACTGTAATGACTGCAGCCTTCTGTACGAATTATTGTGCTTGTTTGGAAGGTTCAGTGAAAAAGCTCAGCATGAACTAACTAAAGAGCTATTTTAACATCTCTGCTGTAAAGTACTGGCTTCCGGTTGCGTGGCATTGTGGGATGCTTACGTGCCAACTCTCGATTTTGTCATGGGCATGAACGTAAATCCCCTAATGTATTGCCATAACCCGAACCCAACTGAAATTAACAATAACAAATGTATTATGACGAACTCTATGCCAGTGGCATGATGGTGGGCTTCCTCCAGGCAAAGAAACCCTCAGTTCTGAAGGCTTTTTGCCTGGAGGAAGCCCACCATCCTGCCGCTGGCGTAGAGTTTGACATAATACGCTGCGAGAAATCTAGTGCTAGTATTTGTGGGGAATGCTGGAAACAGTATGGGAATGATGGGCAGTGCAGGATTTTTCGCCTTGGCTTTTCTCTTTTGGTTTTGTATGGCTATTTTGGCTTTATGTGGCCTGCATCCACTTTGTTGCAAGACGAAGTTCAACAGACGTCGAGCTCTTCCACTCCACCGCCTTAATATTTAGGCTCACCAATTTAAATGGGCTCACTAAGTTCGCAATTATGGATTTTTTATAAACTCTGAAGCAAGAGCCAAAACAGTAAACAAAGAGCTACAAGTCTGTTGCAAGTTGCGAGCCGAAAGGCTAGGCATATCCTGTGCTACCCAACATTACTACCATGGTGGCTGAATGATTGCAGCACCCGATTTCCCTCTAGTAAATACTGTAGGAAACACTGACTGCGTGGTCCTTCTCACTGCCTTCTGAGGTAAAGTGATGCGAAGCCGCAGCATTTGTAAGAATTTCGTTTAGAAGCATAGAAATTTGGGCGAGTATATAGTGATCCATTATATTTTGTATTTTACGCACTCTTAATACTACTATGGAAGAATTGAATGTTGCACAAAGCGTAACACAGAAATGAGAAGGCACATATGGACACCATACAACGCTTTGTGGTGTGAACCACCCACTACAAAAGGCACACACGTTACTGTACCTTTTCCTTTA